CGGGGGGGGGGGGGGCGAGTAACTTTGGCCCGCGCAAACGCGACAGCGAGCTAAATTCGCAAGATAAAGCTCCCGCACGATAAAGTTCCCTCTAATTACTTGTAGAATCGAATACGACGGGAGGGTAAATTCGGAAGACGGAAGAAACATTGGTGGACCATTCAAGAGACGACGGGGAGTCCCGGCTCTTCTCGAGCGAGTTTGAAGAAAGAAGCGGCTCATATTCGTTCGACTTCGCGCGAGAAAAGTGGAGGCGAAGGCGCACGTTCGTCTAACGGAGGCGTTTATTAATGATACGTTCGACGGATCCGTGGGTTTCCCGTGGGCGAATTCATTATACTAATTGCACATCCGCGCTCTATCCGGCCGCGCGTGGGCATTTTCGTTGGAAGCGCAACGGCAAAGTTCGTCCGGTGAGAAAGATGCGTTTCCTCACGAGACGTCTTCCTCATGTAAAATCGATTTCTTCGCAGAACGCGAAATCCCGTATTATTACATGATTCATCAGAGTTATCTCTGGTTAGAGAGCATACTGCTCGTTTAGACTTTTCTAAAATGCACCATTGTGTAAAGAAATTCCCATTAATATAATTGAGATTCCCCCTTTTTGGAGACAAGTATGTTTCAAGTGCTTCAAAAGACTTATGTACACACACATGTGATCGGCGTTAAAACACAAGTAGATTATTCAGGATCGCCAATTGTTCGATGCAGACGGTGCAGGATGCGGTAGGTCGCTTTCGTGATCAGGAATGATTTTACGATGCGTTCGAAGCTGCGAAATGACGCGCGACGGAAGGAGCGCCTGCAGCCTCGGGAAACGAATCTCGCTTAATGACTCCGTTACGCATTAATGACCACTTGGAAAAAACTGCTTGAAGACACACGAGAAAGTCGTTTCCCCGACGATCCGGAAATTCCAATTTTATCTTACTATCTACTAACGAAATTAGGCGACGGCTGTGTTTCAAGAGGACGGACACTGTCGCGCGGGCCAATTTTTACAACAATTATCTCCGCGCTGAAACTTCCCTCGTGGCTCGATAATAAATTTTGAAACAATTTAACGAACAATCACTTCCAATTAATTACGTGCGAAATATGAAGCACCACTTAATGCGGCGCGCGGCGAGAAAGCTTCTTGAAGTACGAATTATTAAATATCCTGCATTTGAGAGGAAACGAAAGAATAATGAGAACGTTCAATATCGGGATTGCCACATTAATTACGTCTATATCTTTCTCATTTGCAACCTGACTTTCACTTTTGGCGTACCTCCTCCATTACTCAAACGAGATAAAACCCTCGCTCGCAGCAACGTCACGCGGCCCGATGTCGGTAACCGTCAACTTTATACAAAGCGAGATGAAAGAAACGCGTGCAAGCGCGCGTCTCGCTCGCGGTAGCATTCGCTCCGTTTCTCCACATCTGTGCACGGGTGGATGCCGACGTTGGCCGACTAATTAATTAAATGTAAACGCGGCGAACTGCGTTTTCTCTTTTACATCCGACTCAGACGATTCCGTCCTTCGCTACGGTTTTCCTCCCCAGCTCCGTTTACGCTTTACCAGTCTTCCTTCCTCGTCCCATCACTCCCGTCGCTCTCTCTCATTCCTTGTTCCACGCAAGAGTCCGTCTGTCTCGAGCTTCCCGGGAAATTCCCGAGTCGCTTATTTGCGTTTACCTAAGAGTCGCGTCTTCTTCGACGGCTAATTGGCTGGCTTTCCGCGTTAAATGCGAGCTAACCGTTCCGTCCATCTCGCAAACAAACGACGTCGTCCGCGACTCGCGTTTCGTGTCGCTCCAATTAGCAGACTCTTGTGGCCTCTGCTGTATTAAAAATTAACATTTCATTGCACGGTAAAAGCCCGTAATATCATTGAAGTAACGAGAAATGGCTTATTAAATATACATACACACACAGCTCTACTCACGCAGACAACGAAATTAAATTAATTTGAATCAGGATTTACCTCATTTTCTTTCTCAGACACTGAGAACGGTCTTGTCGTTTTTTAAAATATAGTATTACGTACAAAGATTTTAATATATTACGCTACATGCATTACAGGCAGACTCATTTTCAATTAATTCGCCACGGGTTTTGTACGTTCCACTTTCGAATAGCGCCTGGTGTCTCCAAATCAGACGCAATTTCAGTGCTCGATCGTCGAATTCGGCCGGTATTTCGCACGAAGGAATAATGAAACGCCAACATTTCGGGACGCCGGACAGTAATCCACGTTTTAATAAAGGGATTATCCCGCGCGCCGCGATCGTCCCGTTTCCCGCGCGCGAGAACGGATTGCACACGGGATCGCACCGTCCTCGTCGTTGTCGTCGTCCAAGTAAAGCGCGCGATATTCCCGGCGCGGTTTAATAGTTCCGCCGCGGGAAGTTTCTCGCGCCTTACCGTTAATTTCTTGGCGGCGTTTATTGCGGAAGTTAATGCCCCTTACGAAATTCATATTACCGTATCGCGGGGGTCTAAGCCGCTCGTTTCCCCCTCTCGCACCTTACCGTTATCTTCCTCCGCCGCGCGAAACGACGATCGGACGACGGGGGTCATTAAGAACTTTCCCGGTCGGTGCGACGGAAACTATGGAAAATGGATGAGACCGAAGCTCTATCGTTATTTTCCCCGATGTTTCTCGCTTTCCGTGGTATCTGATAGCGGTGGAGAACGAGAGAGAGAGAGAAGGGAACGCCGCAAGGCAAAACGATTTTGTCACGCTGCTTTCTGCTTGATTGCGACGCCGCGATAAATATAACGCATCGACGAGCGACGACGCAGATGCACTGGACAAATTAAAAAAAGAAATTACTGCTCCCCATTGTACAGTTATATGGACTTTATGTCCACGATTTTTATGTCGAGGACTGATCGACGTTATTCGTACATTTTTTCACATGTATATTCTATATATTATTTCCCTCGATGTATAGATAAATGCGATTAAAATCGTGGCGTGAATATTCGCGAAAAGTTTGCTATACGGTTGTACTCGAGTCATCCTCGGGCCGATCCGATCCATTATCTGTTGCGGATGAAATTATACCTACACGCCTGAGTCGCGCGACTTTTTTTTTTAACGGCGGCGCACTTTAACATCAGACGGGTCAAACGCGCTGCGCGAAGATCGCGAAGATACGATTTCCTTCAGAAAATTAGGTTTGCGATCCTCCCGATATTCCGCACGAAATCCGATAACTGGTTTCGCAGCTTTGCTTCTACCAACTTGAGGTTCCCTCCGCCCACCTCCTTCACGTCTCCTCTCATTCTCCACTCTCCTCTCTGACCGTCCGTTCCGTCCCTTTTAC